CACAATATGTCCCCTTTAACAGAAATCACAGCTCTCCCATTGTAAATTGTTTTTCAGGTGATAAAAACAAAACATCTGCCTGTTGTGCTTGTTTTCATTCCCCCCCCCCCCCCCCCCTCCCTCTGTCTCCATGGATCCTGAGGATTAATGAAACCAGCTTCTCTTCTCCGCACCAAAGAAAGCAGGAGTGCACTTCTCTAGCTCCTCAAACAGCGTCTCTCCCCCCCCCTCCTCCTCCTCCTCCTCCTCCTCCCCTCTTCTCCCCTTGCAGGTGGCCCCGTTCGCTACTTTGAGCGAGGCTTCAGGGCTACGGGAGGAATTCACATGTAAATAGGCCACTCGCTCTCAATAGGCTGGGGGAAGAAAAATGAATCCCGTCATGATAACCTTGCATAATAAGCAGGCTGGGAGCATGCATACATTGCAATGTCGCCTTTTTAAAGTACACAATGGGGACGAATCTCAAAACTCAGCAGAATAAGAGAAGCCTCTGGGGGTTGATTTATGGGAAACTTAACATAAATGTGTCAAGGCCATGCAGGAAAAGACTTTATGATATACATTTGTTGTATGTATCTCCTCTACCAGAGCTGTTTATCCTTATTTTATATTCAACATTAGATTAAAAAGAACCCTCTCTGTGTGTCCGGGTGTTAATGTGCAGTGCAGCCATGGGAGTCTTAATGGCGTCATAAAAGTTCAAGGTCAAAAAAGGCCACATACCCACCATCTCAGAGGCACACAAACCTGCATGTGTGCTCTTATTTACTGCTTACACACTTTGTTTCACCTTGTTTCAGAGCGAGGATTATTGCAATGTCTCTTAAATGAATCTCACAGGGAGCAGACGTCCTACCACTCTGCCAGAATAGCCTCAAAATCTTCTATTTTTTTTACCCCCATAAGAGGAGCAATGAAAATACTTTAAAGCGTTCAACAACCATCAGCCTAGCGTGTGTTACCTCTGTGGATAAGACTCAAAGGAGTTCTTGTTTTTCTTTATTTTTTTTAAGTTATTTTTTGGGCATTTTTGTCTTCATTGGACAGGACAGCCGAAGAGAGACAGGAAACGCCGGGAGGAGAGAACGGGGGGGCGACTCGCAGCAAAGGGCTGAGACGGGATCCGAACCCACAGCCGCCGCGACTACGACCCCAGCCCCTGCACACGGGGCGTGCAACACAACCGCAAGGCCATCAGTAACAGCCAGTACAATGTAGATACTCATCTATCTTTAAATATGGAAATGCACAATCCACTTTTCTTTTGTTCAAATCTGATTCCGATACATACAGATACTGATTTAGATGTTTTTTTCTCATAATATTGTTTTTAATTTTTTTGGTATTATGTGTAAGGCTACACACAGCTGTAGTAAACCCAACATTACATTTCTTACTGAAAGTAAAAGTGAAATAATAAAAATAAATTATTTCCAAAGTAATGTATCTGAACGTTGTGCTGGCTTCACAAACAAACAGGAAGCAGCAACAACATGTCAGGTTTTCCAAATAAAATATTTGAAACTGAAGTGTAAGAGTTGAACTTTTGACCGTATAGAAGGAGCTGCGCCATCTCGTCTGAATGTCGTCATGGAGACGATCTGTGGACACGTCTTACCGTTCAGTCTGAATTTCTTACATGCCTAACGATCTCTCTTGATCTGTGATGGGGATCGGCGCCGTCAGTCTGATGTCTACGGTGGCCTGTGGGTGTCAAAGGCTCGGCAACCGCTGAAACCCACTCTCAGCTGTCTCATCCCTGATTTGAAAATCCAGGGCAGGACTCGCTTTAATCTCTGTGTTTCGTTAATATTCATTGATAACCTTCAGTGCTGGTCTCTCTTAGGCCCCGTGTCCACCTAGTCTTGTTTTTTTAAGCGCCAGCACCTTTCTGTAAAAGTTTAAAGCTTTTCAACTTGAGTGCTCGGAGCAGCCGCACAAAAAAGGCCGAGCGCTCTGAAAAAAAGACGCTGGGCACTGCGATTTTTCTTCCAGGAGGCCACCTGCTGCTTCGAACGCTCTCTACTCATTGTAAACAACTGAAAAAAGACGCTGCTGCTCAGAAAAAAAAGGCTGGGTGTACACAGGGCTTTATATATTATGTTTTATTTATGAAATGACTTATACAGGGCAAAATAAAAGACAAAGTAACGTGCAGCGCCGAGGCTGAATTTACAACGACACAGGGTTCTGAATTTGATTCTGATACTGGCTTTTATGGAAACAGTGGCCGAGGCTCATTGGGATTGTTGTATGGAAACCATTTGCCAAAAAGTAGAAAATCTTCAGAAGGATAAACACAACATGAAATTAAATTATGCATGAGACTCCTTGATGACTTGCGTTCCCATGTCGGGTGTTTCACGGGCGTGTCTGTTGAGGAACTCTGAGGATATCATTAAAAGAAAACTCTGTCATGGGAATTTATAGTGCGCAGAAATCCTCTTCTGAAACTCCTCCCCACTTGGAGCTCTGTCATATGATGTAATAATAATAATCTCACATGTTCACACAGCGGGACACTTTGTACAGTATTCAGCTGCCAGCCACCCAACCTGGAAAATAACTGACAAACTGGATCCTGCCTCAGGCGAGAGCAGCTCCGGTACAGTAGGAAAGCATTAATGGCTGGGAACGATTGTATGGATGAGCTGCTCCAAACAAGACACGATGCACGAAGGAGGGTGCTCTTCATTTTGTGTGGGTTTGAGTGTTTTCTTGCCAAGCACATCATGTGAGGTTAATGGGTTAATGGACGGCCTTGAGAGATTTATTCACCGTAATCCAACTTTCACTGAAGACGTCACAGGAGCAGGAGAAAAGTGACCAAATAAAGCGATTATGGTTGGTTTTAAGTCCCTCCGTGTGGTTTTGAACATATTAATCCGAGTCATTCAAAGTGAAGCACAAGACAGGTAATACGATTTTTTTGAATTGAACTCCCTTGCAGGTGCTTTTGGCAGATCAAACGAAATGGTCTGAAGTGAGGAAGGGAAGCAGAACGGGACATTTGAATTGATTTACACACTGAAAGCTGACCTGGCTTGCAGAGAGAAGGGAATCAGGAAAAGTGTGAATATACCTTTGCCCTTTTTCAGTTTCCTTCCCTGTCAAACAAGTAAGGAAGAGGCACCTGGGGTTTCCCAAACACAAAAACATAATTCGTCAACATGTGACAAAACTAGGGCATTACTGAGAAGCTGCCAACCAACACTTGATGTTTAGATCAAACTTGGACTCTTGGGATTCATTCCTCCTCTCTCACTCGCCTGCCCTCTGCTTTTAAGTCTAAAAAAGCCTAAAAGAGGGGGTTTAAATTTAAAGTCGGCTGCATTTTGCTGAAGCCCTGACTCTTATAAATGTGTGAAAACCAGTGCAAAGGACACGTCGTTTCTATTTTTAAATGCAATCCCCCCCTGAGACACAGCACCAAAATCCCCTCAGCTAAGGTCGTAATTATCACATTTTAACTGGAACAGATATTTATGTGGCGGGGATGTTTGGCGATTCAGCCTGTGAGCAATGCAAACTAACCAATCTGCAGTTTATTTTGGACGGCCAGCTGCCACACATGGGGCCCGTCGGGCTCTCAGTCATTGATTGTTTCAAAGGAATGGGAGAGCAAATGGTGTTAAAGCACGAGGCTGACACACACACACATACACATACACACGCCCTGCACAGTCCTAAAATACTCTGCAACACCCCTGGCTGCAGAGCCTCCTGCCCAAGCCTGTTGTACTGGGTCCTGCCTCCAGACTGGACTGACAACATTTCGAGTCTTAAGGACGGCATGTGTGCTCTCGCATCAGTGCATCTGAAACCCCTCAACACAGCTCCAGCAGCTAATAGAGGGGAGACAGTTCATATTTTTGACTTTGATTGTTGTTCAGATGTTCATATAATCATAACATGCACTGATAGGTTTTGTTTTTTAATGTGAGATATTAGATAAGCAAAAATATTACCCGACTATGTAAACAGTCGTCTCTTTACACTTTATGCAAATTCTGCTAACCAGAAATGAAATTTGCTCCCGCCCCCTGCTTAACACATTTCTGCTGTGGCAGGTAACAATTCAGGTCACCTGTCAACATGACAGATTTAGAGTTTCTTACTTTATCAGTAAATCCTTTATTTTTTATTTTTTTTACAGATTCTTACATGAAGAATATTCAAGGTTAAAGATCCTGTGATGAACTTTTGATTGTGTCAATTCTGGGGCTCTCTGTGGACAAATCAGTACCTGTCATCTTCTTTGCTGATTTTATCCTTTACATGTGTAGTAAGAAGTTAACAAAACAAAAAAAAATGTTTCTTGCTTTTTTTGTTTTACATGCAGTCAAATGAATCACTCATTCCGCAGCGTGCTGTTCACCACTTTGACTGACACCTACCCTACAACGGCTGTTGCAGGCATTAAAAATAACGTAATAGAAATAGTCAGTCCTCTCGCTGGTGGTCTTGTTTGCTTTTTTAGGTCATAAAAGGTCATCAATATTCATTTCAGTTTGTTTCATAAAGAGCTAATCACTCCTCACAGGAGCTTTAAGGTTCTGTTCCTGCAGCGAGTCTTTTCATTGGTTTCACATATATTCCTCCCCGGGGTTGTCACAAAAACATTTTAAACCCAAGTTAAAAGGAAACTGTATTAATACCATGGCAACAAAAATAGAATCCATATTCACTGCACATCTGTATGAGTACGTGACAAATCAAAATATTGAATATTAATATCGATAGTTTTTCATTAGGAAAATTGCACAAAACGTTATGTTGCCATTGTTTTTGAGTGGTTTGGACAGCGCTCTCTACGTTTCCCTGGCTGTAGGATCTGGTTAAAACGAATGATCTGTCGTTTTTTTAATAGCTTCGGTACTTTTCGAAAAACTTCAATTGTGGAATTGAAAAGTGTCAAAGTATCACAACCTCATTCCAGACTCTACACAATCAATGTACAAGTTTTTTTAAAAAAGGAAAAAATGCTTAGAGGCATCACGTACTTGGCCAATGTTTTGTTTATTCAGGAACATCACATTCTCGTGGTTGAAGAACAAGTACTGTAATGTCAGCTTTTCAGGAGCTACACGCCGAGAATTTATGGTTTAATGGCTCATTAAAGGGAACACTGACAGATCGTTTCACATCATGTTTGTTTTAATAACACTCCCTACTTACTCAAATGTGCTCGAGTACACTATCACCCCGAATGAGGGCTGCAATCCTGAACATGTTTAAAGCTCCTGTGAGTTTTCTGGCTGGTAATGAAACAATCTGAATATTAAAAACATTCAAAACCGCCTTTAAACACTTTACTACACCAAAGAGTCGTTGTGAGTTACATCCTAGACATTTAAAATAAAGAAGGGAGGCTTTTTTGTTACAGAGCATCACTTTACAATGCACAGGACAAAATCAAAGAGATATGTCCTCTCTTTTGTAGACAGGTGTCATCAAAATCGATAACACCTTCAACATACAACATGTAGAATTTTATGAGTGTTTACATTAAAATATCTAATTTGATTCAAAATTGACGAAACCTATATTCTATTTTTTTTGTTGAGTACTTAGATTACCTCAAATATTTCCAAAAGGTTATCAAAGCTAAAGAAATCCGTAATTTTATAGTTGTGACATGTCTTGTCATGGCACCCGCCGTCACAGAGCCGCCATGATAGGCAGAATGTTTATCGTTGCCGTGGAAACACCGGATGTTAAAAACATCATGTAAACTGCACTTGGATACATCTTAAGTAAACATATTCTCATCCTCATGTCGGTTTTGCCCGTTTGTCGTCTTGACTCTGGTCAACGCAGAGTTTGGTTTCCCCTGGGGGATGGGGGTGGAGTAGCAGAGAGAACTCCCATGATTCCACGCCTCCCTCGACATCACTTTTGTTATTGTAGTATTGATTGTGAGCTCCTTGACGGCAGAATCTACATACTGTATCTTTAAACTTCCACACAGCACCTTTACTACAACTACATGACTTTTAGATGAAATCTCTCTAGAAACATTGTGTTCATAATGATTCCCTCAAGCGTCAACATTGCTGTAAATATGTTTTATTAAGCAAAACATAAAGCGGTCACCACGGACCAACTACAGTAACATTTGTTGTTCCCCCCCCCCATCATTTCAGTGAAAATCCAACACATATGCTCTATTTAAAACTTATAAACTTCATACGAAGTAATAATCTAAAGTGCTCATAAAAAAAAAACAGAGATGTAAGCCAGCAAACAAATCGATAATGATGATGCATGATAATACTTTTCTTAAACGTAGAAAGTCCAGTGTAAAAAAACCTAATTATAATAACATATTCAACAGTGAAATAAAACTGATATTTAATTGACCCCCTGGTGTAACAACCTTCAATCATTTACCAATTTACCCTTCAACTGGTGAGAAATTATCTTAAATATTTTTGGTAAAACGTGTTTGGAAAAGCCGTTCATGAAACATACAGCGTCCTTAACTTCTGTCACCCTTCCATTCCCCAAACCCTCAGTGCTTTGGATCGTCAGAAAAACTTCTTTATAAACCTATCCACACATGTCTGAACCTTTCTCATCTTCATACTGTATTCCTTTTCTATGTGTCACTTCCTGATCAACAGCATCATCACTAGACCAAGGCCGGGAATCCTACATCTCAAATTACTGGACTGATAAAACTCAGCATGATGAATCTGGACCTGCAACCCGCAGAGAATCCTTTGTTTCCTTCACATAAAAACAGCAGTCACAAAGTCTTTTTTCTAGTGACAACTTCATCTCTTTTTCTTCTGCTGCCGGAGCACCTTCCTCCTTTTCAGGATCATGTCGTGGAGTTCTCCAGGCCCTCCCTGAGTCCGTCACCTATGATAGCGCAGGATGGCTGCAGGTGCCAGGGGGTCGCCGGGCTCAGTTCTTTCAGCGCCAACAATTTTTCAATTTCAGCGAGTCCTAAAGAGTGCCTCAAGTCCTGTTTGTTGGCTACCACCAGCAGAGGCACCCCCTGGTTCTCAGACGTCTTAGCGATTTTATGGAGCTCCGTCTTAGCCTCCTCCATGCGTTCTGCGTCCACAGAGTCCACCACGAATATAATACCGTCTGTGCATCGCGTGTACGACTTCCACAGGGGGCGAAGCTTCTCCTGACCGCCTACGTCCCAGAAGTGGAACGTGCCGCTCCTGTGGCCGCCCAGAGACAGTTTAACCTTCTCGGCGTTGAAACCTTTGGTGGGCACCGTGTTGACAAACTCATTGAATTGCAGTCTGTACAGCACGGTGGTCTTTCCTGCCGAGTCCAGCCCGAGGATGGCGATGTGGAACGACTGGAAGAAGGGGATGTTTGAGAGGAGGCTGGGTTGCTCTGACAATCCGTTCCCCATCTTTCCTCATGAGGAAGGATTGATGATGTAGGAGATTTGATCCAGTTGTCTGGCAGTAATCCTCAGAGCTGACAATATTCCAGAATGACAGCAGCAATGACCTATAAACATATTGCATGTTATTTTTGGGTGAAACACAGACTTACAGAAGCATCTGCACTTAGACGAGGCCTGCACGATAAGAGAAAAGATTTGCAATAACATTTTGATAAGCCATTTTGAATAACCATATAGAGTCCATATTAGCTGTATCTCAGTTTCTATGTCCATTTGCTGTTCTTCATGTTTTACAGAACACCAGTGTTTGCAACATGTCCCTTCTTAATCCAGAACCAATCCAATTTTTTTTTTCCCCCACTAGATTGGCGCCAACTAATCTAAGAGTAGCCGATTGTTTGCTTTAGCTTCATCTGACCGCTTCAAAATAGTTTGAAAGCATGAACATTATGCACTGAATGAAATAAATGTGCATACCTATATCTATCCCTACAGAACATAGAACTAAGAAATTTATCGGCTGATATATCGGCATCTGATTTTTTTCCCCTCCTCATTATCGATATCGGCCCCAAAAATCTCATATCGGTCGAGCCCTAGTTTATCGAGATTAATTACCCAGCTTTAACTAAACAGCTACTAAAGCCACAACCGTCAACAACAGAATGATGTCACATCAAAATATCCAAAGATAATCCTCTCTGTTACTTCAAGAAATCATCGTTAGTTAACCGGTTTGTCTTCAAATGTTACGTAAAAGCAACACAGGCAGAGAAAAGTCAACAAAATGAGCAACTATAACTTGCATAACAAAATCGATCAAATGTTTGACAACTTAAGCCACCTGAAGCTACTCCACATACCAGACCAACCCGACACAACACGCCACTGAGTGTACCGATTACAACAATGGGGCATTTTATGGCTTATAAATCTTCAACTTTTTATTTGTTAAGGGAAGATTATCAGAGTATCATAGGGACACTTTAAGGCTGCATTTTTCCCCATTAAAAACTTTGGATGATATCACTATGTGTAATGTACTGTAGCGGATGTTTCAAATAAGTCTGACTGAAAATGTGGCGCTGTTTTATGGTTGTTTTTGCAGCTAACAAATGTCTTTGAAATGGGTATTATTGTGACTGATGTTTCAACAGAAGTGTCTATAGGGCTGTTGAGTCAAAGTCCACAGCAGTACATCATTTACAACCAAACAACCTTCATGACCAGCAAAAGAGCAATAAACTATTTCCTGGTCTACATCAAAAAGAATGAGCTGATAACCCTGATGTGGAGCATTTAACCATTTTACAAACATTTGACAAAAAAATAACTTGATTATCTTCACATCATAAGTCAAGTCAATATAGAGTTTAGTGTGAGTCCAATATATCCTGCTTGTATCTAACATTATTCACTAAGTTGAATCCATTCATCTTATATGATGCAATTGTAACACTCTTATAGGGGCCTCCCAGCTTGTTGTGTTTCAATTCCTGTAAAATCTTCAATTGATCTGTGTTAGAAATACAGACAGTTTTCTAGTATTTTAACGAAAAGAGATATAATTTATAGATGACTGACAAGCAGGTGAACAGATGCGTCTTTATGTCCTCTAAGAAATAGGTTACCTACCAGGCAGTCTGAGAGAAAAAAGGGCAGAGAAAACATTCAATGTACTCCTCTGTGAACACAAACGCAGTCCTCTCCAGCGTCTAAACAGCATGCAATTCAACTCACTTTTGTATTTCCACCTCGTCTGAAAAGGCAAGGCGACGGAAAAATCCTTCCCCAGAAACAGAAACACTCCCTGCTCTGTCCTCTCTGCACCCGTGTGTGGCTCCACTGCTGATGGCACTGCTGTCAGTTTGGCTACACGCCCATTCGAACACTGCGGACGCGTGCGATTGGTGCGTTGTCGCCGTTCACTGCCAGCTGATTGGCTAAAAGGGCTGTCAATCAAGTATCTGCCCGGGAACCAGGATCACCTGTTGCTCCGTCTGTCTGTCACACCATTTTTTTTTTAACTTTCTACATTAATAATTTATTACTTTCGAGCCGTAAACATATAATTGCGGCATGATTGAAGTAGATTCAAATTCTCCAAGGGAAAACAACGGCAGGAGAGGCGAGAAAGGTACGCCTCATTTTAACTTAAATATGTTTTAAACTGTCCAGAAATGTCACTTTTCTTCGCGTTCAGATACGAGACACTCGGAAGGAATATAGCCAAATATGACTCTATAAAATCCATTAAAGTAAGTCCAGTCCACAACCTGGAGGCTTCATAGTCAGCGGTTGTGTTTAGTAGCTCATGTTAAACCGTTAACGGACTCTCATAGAGCGATAAACTCTCCGAAAATGTCACAGATAAGCAAATGTTAGCTTGCAGCAGCGCCAGAGTAAATGTTAGTAACCTTGGTAACCATTAAAAGTAACATTCGAACTTACATTGATTCAGCGCGTGAAGGTAGCGTGTTCCCCCATCTTCTCTCGTGTGTGTGCGTGTGTGTGTGTGTGTGTGTGTGTGTGTATGGGGGGGGGGGGTCCTCTGCAGCAACAGCACCGCCCCTCGTGTTTTTGTTTGAAATGATTGGTCGAGGGGGGGCAGGGGGCAGTAAAAGCACCACGCTGACTACATCAGCCCCTCATGCGTGAAGGATAACAAACAGTAAAAAAAAGCGTTTTCACATGGTGTCTCTGTTTCTCAATCACTGGTTTGACTTTTAATCAGAGACGGGAATATACCAGAAAAAACGTGTGTGTAGTGAGTACAATTAAAAGTAAGGCCTGCTATTACAATAGATACACAGTAGTAACCTGTTTCTTCATGGTTAAAAACACATTCAGAAAATGAGCTTAGACTGCAGTGAAGTAACACAAGAGGATAGTTTATACTGCTACTCTCATGTGTTGGCCTAATTGTAGGACTCGTTTGTTTTTTGTATTTACTCTTGATATTTAAGTATTGTTACCGTTAAAATGTCAATTATTACTAGTATTAATGAACTCAGAGATAAGATTAAAAAATTAAGTACCAATACATCGATAAAATGAATGCTAAAATGACAAACTTACAGTATATATCAGACAGTGGTCCCGACCTTTTTTGGCTCATGACCCCACTTTGCCAAGTCTCTGGTACCCTTATTTTGGGGTTTGTGAGCTGAATAATTTGGGAACCCGTAGTTTAATACACACCCCAACAAATATTGCATCAATAATAATGTTATTATCCTTATTATGCAGCCCTTGAAAACATTACTTTTCCTTCTTATTTCCTGGATTGCAAAAACAGATTTTCTAAAAACTGTAAAAGATCCAAACACACGTCTGGTGGTTTGCTGCTCGGCATCCTGGGGGGCTTGGTGATATAACGCAGTAACTATTTGTTTTTATATTTAGCACATGAGTTATGCACAGACTCACAGATGACTCATTAAACACATGTGCAGCTATTTCAGATATGCCTTTAATATGTGCAGGCTTCACATGTTTATCATAGTCGGGGTACTGAATGAACAGCTGTTAGTGGACCAGAGGGTGAGCTCATAATGTTGTACGATGACCTTTATGATACCGGAGTCGCTGCAACTTAAAGCTCTAAGACTGCTTTATGTCTTTACTTCGGATAAGTAAGACATATTAAAGTACTCCATTAGAGGTGACATTCATACATTTACTATCTTACCCAATTTGAAAAAACGTTGGTCATGAGATGGATGTTGGAGTACAAGAGGAAAACAAACAATTTTCTTGTACATTTAATTAGTGAGACTTTCCACTGATCTTTGCGCTCTTATGAAATATCAAAGGATTTCACCTCTCTTCCCAACCATTAGTGATAGAGGAAAAAGATTCCGTAGCACAGTCTGCTAACATCTCGTAATAATCATCTCCGACTTTAAGCATTGAAAATAAAACTACAGGTTTTGGACCTGCGTGGTTCTGGGTTGGAGCTTGGTTAGTTTAACAGAGTCTTGCACATTATTAACTTATAATATATATATTTTGATGCACGTTGTCCATATATACCCAATAATTCACATTTTTTGTCTACATCTGTAAATTTTGTAATTACTGTACATAGCACAGATTCTTGCACTTTCTGATTATTTGCACTTCTGGTGAGATGCCAAACCTCATTTCGTTACTCTATACTTGTATATGTGTAATGACAATAAAGTTGAATCTCATCTCATCTCATCTCATAAGTACGGTTTAACTAGCATGTTCCACAACTCAGCAATACTTAATAAAAAAAAATCAAAGGTAATTCTGAAGAGTGTCATGATTTATTTTTCCAGGATCTTGAAAGTTTGTCCTCCACGCGGTCCAAGAAAGCACTGTACGCTCCTCGTCTTCGTCGGTGTCTCTGTGAAGCAGACATGTAAACTGATGAATTATAAACATTTCCTGTAACATACTAAAGACAACTAAAGTTAAACGCACAGGATGGAAAATCCGCCCAATCAAAACAATAACAAAAGATGACGTTGAGGCTAACGGAATCCTGGGAGTTCTCTCTCCTGAAATTCTCCAGAAGTTTTCAGGAGTGCATGTGAGAACACGGCTATAGAAAAGGTTCATTATGTAAGAGTAAAACTGAGACACCACTGACAGTGTAGGAAGCTGATTTTGGAGGGTAGGGCATCTGAGGCAGTACGAGCCTTGCATCCCATTTGGGCTCTGGAGGCTTAAAGGTGTCCATCTTTGTCTTGTTGCCTCTTGTACAGCAGCCTGACTCAGATCTGATGGTCCGAACTGGAAAATAAAAAACATCAATCCATTCGATCAATAGGAACAACATTGTTTAAAATGTCAGGAAGCTTCTGACTGATTCAGACGTTTTCTTGTGACGCAGTTTAGATAATTCATTTTAAACATTCACATCATTTTGTAAGAAGAAGCTTAATCCTAAATGTACTCATTCAGTGATGTAAAGCTCCAGAGATAATGTAATTCCACTTACTAATGTCCAGGTGCCGTAACTTTAAGTTCAGGTTACCAGGGTCTCTCTGAAATGTTGTCACAATGTCAGGAAGGTCCTCATCCAGCTGAAGGCGGTGGTGAAAAGAAAAAGGTTGGACATTTTTTAGTGTTGTGTTGGTCGCCATCTTGGGGCAAAATAAAATATTACAACCAAAAGTGGTGGCCGTAGTTCTACTCGAGTGAGCATATGCAAACTTATGTACTGAACCAAACTGAACCAAACCGGACCGCTTGGTGGAACAAGGAATTGAAACATCTGCTTCCTTCGTACCCTCTCACCTCCATGAGTCAGCAGAGAACAGGGACTTAAAATCCTCGCTCTCAGGACCTTTTCTTACTTCCTGTTCCAAAAGTCAGAACTGAGCTGGAGAAAAAGGTGTTTCAGTTTGCTGCTCCCTTTACTTTGAACTTATTACAAAAAGAGCTGAAACTTAACAAACTCCTCTCTGAATGCTTTTAAGAGGATGTTGAAAGACCTGGAGGCGGACGCATCTAGCTGTAGATATTCTTCCTGATGTGTTTGTGGAAGATTTTAACGAACATTTGCTGTTTAAATTGGTTATTTGTGTCTTTTAATGTCTTAACAATGTATTTTTTGTATTTGTGTGGCTGCTTGTTGTTTGTGTGAAACTCTGTAAATTGTGCGGCTGCTGCCTGTCTTGGCCAGGATCTTGAATGAAGGTTAAATAAAATAGAAATAAAATAAAATACTGCAGTACTGAAAGTAAAAGTCATTTATTTAATTCAAACTATATTTGTACTTTTAGTTACATTTCCTTCAAGTTTTAAAGTAGAAACACCCTAGGGAAAAAAGGACTCATCTCATGTACAGTTTTCATGTTTATGTCTTTTTTTTGTTTTTAAGACAGCCTACCATATTTTCATGTGTGCAGGTACACTCACCGGTCTGAAGTCATGTGGTTTGGGGTTCTTGTACGGCCCAGAAGGATACTTCCCCGTCCTGACAAACATCAGCTCAGATTCCAGAGCATCAGGAGGCCTGTGTGATGTGATGAACTCCAGAGGCTCGTCTCTCCTCTGGTAACTCTGATTTAATAATGTTGGTAAAAGTACCCCGATTCTCCTTTTTGTTACACCAAGCGGAGGTACAGCTGGACTTGAATCTTCTTTTCTTTCTTTCTTTTGAGGGACTGTCAGAGATCTGTACAGTTTCACAGAGAAATCCGGTGGCTTGGTGCTCCACACGTCGCCTTCGCTCTCAGTCTCTGGGGAAGCAAACCATTTGCTTCTTGAAAAAGAGAGATGCTGACTCGCAGAGAAATGGACCTTATCTTCAAAGCGGATTGAGGTCAGTGGATGCAACAAACTATACGGAGCCATTTTGACAAGAAAATGTCCGCTTACCTTGAGCTCTCCCCTTGTCCTGACACTAAACTACGAGTTTGGATCTGTAGTTGGAGGTTGAGCTTGTCGTACTGTTTGTGAGGAACATGGGGGTGACTCCAGGGGAAAGTGGCAGACTGATGCACAAGAGCTGCTCACAGACACAACACATAAAAGGCACTGCTTGGTAACGGGCGCCTTTTGTCTTTTGAGCAAAACAGAATTAAGTTAAGTGGGCCGAGCTCAGTAAGGCTTCCAACAAAAGCAGGTACTTAGCAACTGTGCAAACAAATTCCCCTGTAAATACGAGAATGCCCGAGATCCTCTTACTGTAGCAATCCATTTAAATACCCAACATGAAGAACGTAAACCTTAAGAGCAAATGTTTTTCCATGTGCACTGAGAAACAGGAAGCATCAAAAACTGTGTTACAATTATACATATTAATGCTTTAAAAGAGTATAGACAATATCCTGCTAAGATACATGGAAGGATATAAGATGTGAATAATACATTCAGAGGGTTCACTCCTTTAATCATTTGACATAAAACCTCTTCTTATAAACTGCTTCTGTGTAGGATGAATATGTCGGGACATGAGCTAATTAGGGGGGTGTAAAGACAAACAAAGTTCTGATATTCATTTTTCTTTCTTCACACTTACCGCCCTTTAGAAAAATAAAGTTATACTGTCCTCTACTGTCCTTAAAGAGGGTTGTTAGTGAAATCATCTGGGTTTAGAGGTTCCTTCTCTCCCTTTGGGGTGAATGTATCAGATCTCATGAACATCTGAAACATTTCTAGAAAAAAAAGACTGAAACCACTTGTTTAAATGGCAAACCATTGTCTAAATCTGTGTATTTCAAAGTAGGGGGGGGGGTCATTAAGGGGTGCTCTGCCTGCAGCCTGGAGACCTCTCGTTTCATGCCCTTTTGGATCATAATATTCTGTATTACCTGTTCCTCATATTTTTTAAGTGTTCTCTTGGTGATTATTCAAAAGTATGATTGCTATTACCCCGTAGTACAAAAACAACAAAGTAGGAACGAGACACAGCGGCTCGAACGCAAGCTGTTATTTTGATAATCAAAAGCTCAGAAAGCTCCAGGGGGCGTGGCTTCAGGACACCGGGCGAGAGGGCATCAGACAAATGGGCATGAGATGAGAGGCTCTAGGAAAAGTACAACACAATAACAAT